CCTGCTCCCCAGCTGGAATGCGCCTGCTCCTTATTGACCAGGATACCAATCAACCATAAAAAGCAAGACAGCTGGTGGTTTCAAGGCTGTTGCTGCCTCACAGATTGTGCTGAAGATGTCATGAATTGTAACTTAGAATGCATAGGAGTTATACAAACATACGTGGGTTTTTTTTCCTTGGATTATGATTGCAGTACAGCAGTCTCTATAACATGCTGGAGTTGATATGGGAGGTGAAAGAAGGGAAAAAGAAAGGGAAAAAAATGAATCTTGGAATTAATGACTTCGGACTGAAAGCCTGGGAATGCAACTGTGGGCTGCAGCAGACTTGCATGACTTCCGTGAGGGCTGTGTCTGCCCCGTGAAGGCTGTGGAGCTGATAGCAAAGCTGGCAGGAGCAGAGCAGGTGGGAACGGAGCACAAACTCAGTCTTGCAAGTTGCCGAATAATTTTGCAGGCAGCAGTGACCTCCAGTTGCTGTGGTTAAAATTCACCCTAAGCAGCACTGCTGTTGCAGCGGTGGGGACGTGTACTGAGTCATTGACCTGTCCGTCTTCCCAAGAGTGTTGTAGAAGTAACTTTCTTGAAGTTTGTGTGCTGCTGCCTATAGGATTAAGTCCGTTAATGTTAATGAAATGCTCTGAGCTTTCTTGTAAAAAGGGTTAATCTTTATAAAAGCTTGAGTACTGATGTGGCTTTAAACTGAGCTGGTATTGAAACTTCAGCTAAAACAAAAAAATTTCTTATCATTGTTCCAAAGATGTATTTTAATAGTCAGTGGACCTGAACCTATGGCTTGGAAAAAGCAAGATTGCCCACAGAACTTTTACTATTGCTTGTTGCCGTGTGAAGCCGTTACTTTGATCCAGGCTGACAGAAAGCAAAGTACAACGTTGCCCGTGTTGCTTTGCTAACCCGGTATTGCTGCTGGGGGTCTGAGAAGGTTAGGTAACACCAGTCTAGGGAATATCTAAAATAAGAGCCCACAGTTTACTTTTGGGGATTGTGGTTTAGTGGCTTAAGAGACCTTCTTTAAAGGAACCGTGACAATGATGTCCTGACCAAGGATGGGCAGGGAGCCTGTGAAAGGAGCAGATGCAGCAAAAGTGAGTTGTAAGGCGTACACTGAGCCTGGACTTGGCAGTCGAGTAACAGAAGATAGATTTTCATCATCCATTTGATGAGTGTGAATACAAACCCATAATTTCTAGTATTTGCAAGACAGGGAGTTAAGTTAAAGGGTAATTGCAGGAAAAGACATAGGGAGACATTTCCACATTTATACAAAACTCAGCCTGCTCTTCTTGCAATCACTAGGACAGCGTTATCCCAACCTTTTTCCAAGCAGGTTTTTGTTGATTTAAAATTATATCATGCCTTATTGAAGTGTGTGAGACTCCTAATGCTAAGTCAAAGTAGGTAGAAATAACTTGCTCCCCTTGGTTAGTAGCATTCAATAGTTTCTTGCCATAGACTTTTTCTTTGTGAGAATGCTTAGCTCCAGTCCTGGAAAACAATGAGAGCCATTAAGCTCCAAACAAATCACAGGAAACACTCAAAACCTTGCCAAGTGTTTCCTTTCTTTGTTAAATTACAAAGACATAAGTGCTAAAAGTATTGTTCCTACTGTGTTTCAAGTGAACTACCAATCTTTCACCTCTCAAAAAGGTCCCCCTGTTCCCATTGAAATATATGGAACAATTTGTGTAAAATCAGTGGGATTGCTCATGTGAATACCACGTACGTTCTCCAAAAAGTTATTCTTAGTGCTTTTCTAATAACACGGTATTGGAGCTTTATTTGAATGAGACTCGCTGTGATACAAGCGTGCTCTGAATCTCTGTGTAGCAGGGCTGTAGGTTACCTGATGTCTAGGTTTGCTAATTATATGCCAAAGCCCCAGATGTGATGCGGGGAGTACATATCGAACAGGGCTTACAACAGCCAGCGGCAAACCAAGGAGACACTGAAGAAGGTCTCCAGCTCAGTACTACCAGGACTGCCGTAAGGTTCATACGAGAGAAAGGGATTAACAGCTCTTTATCATTGCCTTGGGCTAGCTGCCTACATTTCTTCATTTTGGTAATGGATGAGTACTTCACAGGTTAGGGTAGACGATGAGGAAATGCTGGTACTACCGTCTTTTGATTTAAAATTTTAACCACTCTTGTATTCAGGATGTGGGTGAGCAAAGTCAAGTCAGTCCCCTTCCATGGGCCTTCACAATTGCATTGCACTGGGGAGCAGATCCAGTGAGACAGGATAACCCTACACCTGACATCCTCCTTCCCAGTGGTCGCCAGACTCTGCAGGAAGGAGCAAGGTTGTCGGGATGACCCAGGGCAGAGGAGCAGGAGAGGGCCTCTCATTTATAAAGTGGACCTAGTGGTGGGGGACGTACCTCAGAGAGAACAGACGTGGGGGTTGACCCCTGCTGTGTGGATCATTTTTGGTACTTCATTTGGTGGCAATTAACACAAAACCTTTAAGCAGTGACTTAGGAAGAGACCGCGGTTTCTTCCAGAACAGCACTTCAAATATGGGGGCTCCAGAGCCACACTCGCTCTTCGGCTTTGTAAGATCTTTTCTGCACAGTGGTGAATCTGCAGCATTAATGAAAGCATTTGTATCTGACATTGTGCACCTAAAGTCATCTTCAGCTCTGCCCAGGCATGGCGGGTCAGGCCTGGGGGCAATCTGGCACTCAGATACTGAGGGCTTCGGTCAGGGTCTGGGTTAGAAATCTAACTACAGCATCCTCCAGATCATCCTCTGGAGACTGTAGCATTGCTTCGAGGATAAACAAAGCCTTCCTTTGGTCTGGAAGTGCCTGAAATTAGTTGTCTGAAGGTTTTTCTAGTTGGTGGGGTATCTTAAAAGTAAAAAACCCTGGAGCTTCAGGCACCCAGGGATTCAGTGGAAGATCCTGAAATGCAGCACATGCTGACTGGCAAAGTGTTCTCATGAGAAGTAAGGGCTGTGGAGTTAAGCGTATCATGATACGAGCAGATCTGAATCTGGATCTTCTGCTTCTGAATTTGTTCTATAGCCAGTAGACCAAAGCAGACTCATCTGCTCCTTCACCCACCCGCTCAGCTTTGGCATCCCAGCTAGCCTCTCGGCAAGTTTCACACCTGCTTAGTTTATAATCTGAAATTTCCTTTAGGCAAGAGATAGGTGCAGGTGACTTGATCACAACTACATCACCTCTGGGAATGCACAGAATAACAAGAATTTTGTCTCCTTTAAGTTTTGTAGTGAAACTGCCAAATTATGTATGATTTCTGTGTAGAAGAACATGGACACAGAAGTCTTTTTATGAACCTTAGAAGGACTGTTTCATTTTTAAAGCACAAAAAGACCAGCGGAACAGAAAGGGAAATCAGAGGAACTTGTGGAGCACATTCTGTGAATGAATGCGAATGCAAATGTACCCTAAAATTTAGTGAGTAGATGTACAAAGATCCAAAATCCAAGTTAATAATATGGTTCCAATACTTTCCATAACTCCTATTGTTAGCTATGTTATCTAACAGTGTATAAAACTGGATTTCAGTTAAGCCTGAAATGAAGGATCCCAGCCCTCCCTACAGCGAAGGGAAGATCAAGTCCTGATTGCGCTTCACGGGGAGCACAAAGTTCCACTGGGTGTTTTTCATTTAACCATGAGTTAATTTGGTGTAGCCTGAAAAAGGAAGAATGTGCTCTGGAAGGTGCTTTTCTGAACTGCTCATAAGCAAAGGTTTTGTTTTTAACTATGGCTTACCATTGATGATTGTTTTATGGGAAAGATTTAATGATACCGTCTTAGTACTTTTAACCTGATATCGCTCATTAAAAAAATGAAAACGTTCAAGCATTCCAAAACCATATTTACCACGTGTTGCTGTGGAGAACCTTTCAGCTGGTGGCCGATGTATCTAACTTTCCATGTCTGTTTACGATTGCAGGAGCACGGAAGTCATGAGTACTGTCTCAGGTACACGAAGTACAACAATCACTTTTACTGTCCGACCTGGAACCAGCCAGCCGATCACACTGCAGAGCAGGTCCCCAGACTATGACAGTAGGACCTCAGGAGCAAGACATGCTCCAAGCCCTGTGGTTTCACCAACAGAGATTAATAAAGACATCATGCCTGCTCCTCTGACTGCTTCTGCTTCAGCTTCATCTCCTTCTCCAACTTTGTCCGATGTATTTAGCCTACCCAGCCAGCCCCCTTCTGGGGACTTATTTGGCTTGACCACAGGGCGCAGCAGGTCTCCTTCTCCCTCAATATTACAACAGCCAATCTCAAATAAGCCTTTTACAACTAAGCCTGTCCACCTGTGGACTAAACCAGATGTGGCAGATTGGTTGGAAAGTCTAAACTTAGGTGAACATAAAGAAACATTTATGGACAATGAAATAGATGGCACTCATTTACCAAATCTACAAAAGGAAGATCTGATAGACCTTGGAGTGACTAGAGTTGGGCACAGAATGAACATAGAAAGAGCTTTGAAGCAGCTGCTGGACAGATAAGAATAGCTATTTTGCCTCACAAACTTCTGTTGATAACTAGAGATGGGCTGGTACTGAAATACCCCAAATGCCTTGTCTGTCTGCGAGTGCCAGCAAAATTGCGGGGGGGAGGGGGAAAACAGTTTAATTCCTGGTACTCAGGTAATGCAGACTGTATGCTACATGCCCAAACCTAAATCTAAATACGTTACGCGAGTGGGGCCATTTTATTTCAAAGTTGTGGGGAGATACGAGAGAGAGAGAGAGAAAATTGTTAACTTCAAAAATATTATCTCTTAGTAATGCCCTTCTGCTGGACCCATTGCATACCACTTTTCTTTCCATTTAAAATTGTGAGCATTTCATTTTTTTATTGAAAAGCACTCTATTCTCTTCTGGACGTTCAGTCTCCGAGCAGGCTTCCTTCCCCACCCCTTGGTTCATTTTAAGAGGACAGATTGCTTCGTTACCATTCAAACCCATTTTTATTAGTAGCAGAGGCACGATACTAAGATAGGTCCGGGAGTTCATATTACTGTTTTTTACTAGTTTAGCGCTCTGATTTGTTGGCAGTGAAGCTGGTTGTTCTGCTGGAATTAGTTCAAAGGTAATCTTGCTCTGTTTTACCTGGTATTTCTTTATTTCTGCAGTTACTCTTAGCACTTTTCCAAGGTGGCAGAACAAGTTCAATACATGCTCCATTGACTTGACCTGTAAGACGATGCAGATGTTGCATTAAAAGCTGAGGAGGAATGCACACTTAGAGGTACAACAAAATGAAGCTAATTTGAACCTGAGACCCCCAGTTTTCAACCAGCTAAACAACTGCTAAGTCACGATATGAACTCGCCCAGCCAGTAAAAATTTGGGGTTGTGTACAGATG